GAGGCGCATTCCAGTTTGGCACCTGAGTAAATCCCATACGTCCCCAAGAAGATTAAGATTTCGAGAAATGGTTGAATAAGCATGTAAGTGAGCGCAACTGTAGCTTTGCGGAAGGCGTGAATTCCTACTGTCAGCCACTTGGGCGGAAAAATTGCAAGGATTCCAATTTGACAGCATTCACGAGTGACGCGTCTTATTAATATCTTACATGCTGTGTTCACCTCTCCAGCATAAAAATCAAGTCTGAAATTCTGCTGCATTCCGAGCCCCGGAGAGCACGAGGGGGAAATCACTCGTTATCACTCCAATTCTTCTCTCCGCATGTACTAAAGGCGAGACTGAGGCAGGGCATTTGCTCTTTCTATGTGCTGTAGAGAGTTCACATTCCTTTTTCTTAATTAGATTCAGGGAACCCATTGTTCTGTTTCTGTTGTGACTCTCAAGCTCTTTTCCTCACAAAGCGCCACCATAGCGACAGAGGCAATTTACCCCAAGCTAATTAATTTAGGTAAGCAAGTGAGAGGGACGGACAAAGTGCACATATTAGCAGCATTTGCAGTCATGAGGAGAAAATGATTTCACTTTTGGAGAAAGTGTTGTGACGATTATAGCTGGAGGTTTAAATTGCTTTTAGGAGGTAATGTCATTATGTATTCAAAAGGTTGTGGGGAAATATTAGAAAAGCTTGGAGGACATTAAAAGGTCATGGCTGTTTGATTGCCAGCAGTTGGCAGACTAGCCACAAGAAACAGCAAACAGCCAGAGAAGACATAAAGACACTTGAGATGAGTTGTAAAAAATGGAACGAACCTGTTCAATATTGATGCGAATAAAGACACTTGAGATGAGTTGTAAAAAATGGAACTAACCTGTTCAATATTGATGCTTTTTACCACGTTTCACTTTTGAAATGCAATATGCATGTGTCGATCTTCACGATATGATGTTTGTATAGAATGCATGCCCCTGTTATTTCACCGCGTGGCGCGTACCATTCAATTGTTCTAGTAGGCTTTTCCTGGCACGTTTTCTGTCGAACAGAAGCCTGGAGGTTTTGTGCCAATACTGACTGCTTTTTTTGAATTGTTCAGAAGTTTCTCGCATTTGACTCAGGCCCCAGTTCCAGTTAAATTAAAACAGCCTCAAAGCCTGGATGGATAAATAATAATACTACTCCAAGTATACCATGTTAAGGTGTTTTTTTCTGATCAAATACTAATCACGCCTTTTAATGAGAAGGTAACTATTGGGAGACAGCTTTGCTTGATATGCTTTAGAGCTGCCTCCGTAAAAGTCTGACTCATATTATGGCCAGTGCAGAAGCTGAATTTTTAGTATATGGCCATAAAGCGTTCACAAGAAAAGCCAAACCAATTCCACCTCATGTGACCTGCTGCAGTTCTAAATTGAGTTCACTTTGTCACTGTGGATGAAGTCACATAGTCCTCTGACCCTGTGACTCACTATGGTGAGGTACTTCTGTTTTCCCTCGTCAACACAGTCGCCACACACATTTGACAGGACTGTAAAATTGCAGAACCATTTTAAAGTGAAGCTTGAATTTTACAGATTGGAACTATAGAATAATGTAGATACTGATCATAAAATAAGTGCGTGGCTGAAGGGCCAAATTACTTTTTGTGACACCAACAGGTCTGCTCTGCAGTTTGTTTAAATTACCGTGACTTAAGCCAAAGTATCAACACTGGTACTCATGGAATGGGATATTATAGTTTTCTTCAAACAAAGCCATAATAAACATGGCCACACTGCACAGGCGGTGGATGTCTTGGTTTTTTTTCATTTAATAGAGCACAGAGGAGAAGGTGGTATCGCAGTCAAGATAGGAGAGAAAATATCCTGCAAGGACACAAGGGTCATTGTTCATTTTAAGGACCCGCACAGCGACACGCCATCATGTTTTCCCTCAGAGGGCAGTGCTTGAGGAAGGATGGCTTCATACAATTCAAATGGCGACAAACTGAGCAAATGTGCAAATGTTGCAGGTCTGATTCATGGCGATGAATAGTGCCTCCACATTGGACAGCATAGAGAAGTTATTATCAAACTTTTTACACCAAATACAGCATGAAAAAATACTTAGGAGACGTCAGCACTGCCATCATGACCAACATTGAAATACAGCAGTGAAGTTGGCCCAAGTGTTCAGGAAATGCATTTTGGGCAACACGTCGATGTAAAATTTGTTAGAATTCGTTGTATTTATTTAACTCAGATCCGGAAAATATTTATTGAATTGTTTGAAAGAAATTTCACGTTACTTTATCTTCCACAGTGAAGGTAGAAGTGCTAATGTGCTGTGATTAAAGAGCATGAGTCCATTAAACAGGACGTTCAAAGTGAGAGGCATAGGTCAGTGATTCAAGTCTGCTTCCCTAATAATCTTTCCAATTAAAATTCATCAATAAGCCTGGAATTAAAGCTGGTGCCTTCCTGCTGTTACAGTACGTCTGCCTCTGTACTCTGTTGGTTGAGTGCACCTCTGCTGCACATCCAACATATACTGTATACTTTGAGTTTTAATCATTGCTTTCTACTTATATTTCCCTGAGAGAAATTCCCTTTCTGTAAAGCCGTTGTTGCATGACAAGCAGGCCGATGGGCACATGTGGCCAAGTGGTTAATAATAGGGGTTGGATCGAGACAAAGATATGAGATGGGGGGCCTTATCGTATTGATTCGGATATTTGCATGCAACCTACAGCACATTATTTTATGATGAGCAATACATGTTTTTATGTGATGATGTGAAATCTATATTCAAACATCGTTAACCACTGCTCTGGTAAACTGCACATCGATAAGCCCCGTTAAGATCATGTGCTCAATGTTTTGGCGGACCCTCTTTAGCTACATATGCTACATACATCCTATACTGCACGCAGCCTTGTCGCACTTTGAATGTGTTGTCATTCATGTTAAACTGAAAGGGACATTCGATTGGGCTGAACTTTGGCACTCATTTAATAGGTGTGGATGTAAAAATGATGTAAGCACTAAAATCCACCCTCCTGCAAAACTCAAGTTGTAACGCCCCCAAACCTGGAAGAGGCTGCTTGGTTGACACATCTGACACATCAGCCAGACTAGTCAGTGAAGTAAAATTGATAGATTTATTTTTACATTTTTCTCTCAACCTTTTGGAGTACAATTGCCTCAACGGGCCACTAGAGACCCTCCCCACATCACTCAGAGAATATGAGGCTCTCATTAGGATAAAATATGGGTGAATAACTTACGTTCTCATCAAATGAGAGTTGATTTTAACAGGCGTACAATGAATCCACGACTTTGACTTCAATTTACCGGTACTCTGAATATTGTACTTCCTTCCAAGTGTAAATTTGACTCTGTTTAGCCTGGGACCAAATATAGTCTTTTTAGAGCTAAATGTACACTATGAAATTTACTGTGTACTATTCAATGTGACAAATAAACACAATAATAAGGTGAATGGCAGGTGAAATGACCAGATGAGTCCTTATATGATACTGCAGAGTACTGTGTATGCAGCATGTTGAATATGCTGGAGCACACGCCAGCCATCTTCTGAAAGCACGTGCATGCGCAGCTTTAAAAGTGAAGCGTAACTACTCTGTTTACTTAACCCTTTCATGCACCCTGTAACCTGATAACATGATAAACTGTCCACTGTAGTAACCACTGTCCCTAAAAGGGTTAAATGTACGTTGTAGCACATATTCACAAAAATTCTACCCCCATAGGTTTTGCTGTCTTGAAGATATAATTTGAAATTCTGTTAATCATGGCTCATCTTTGTCATATTCCGGCTGGTCATTGTTATCTGGAGGGTGTATCAGTGCAGACAGACAGGTGCCGTCAAGCCCACAGTAATTACTGAATACTGATTGTCCTTTCCGATAGGCTGGGAGAAGCCACATTAAGCCATATTATATTACAGTGCGATTGTAATCTAATAGCTTTTGAGCTACCAAAATGTTCGGTTGATTCTGATTAAGTATTCCAAATGATGAGAATCAAATGTCCTCTAATTGCTCACCACCTTCCGTCTCGTAATAGGCACTGTGATGGCGGGTTACAGTCATCGCACTGTGCTTGGAAATTCTCTATTGTAAAGTGTAATAATCTCCTGCCGTTGTGGAATTGTGGACATCTCATTTTCATCAGCCAGTGAACATGCAGCCTCCATGAAAAGGCATAATGAGATATTTCCACCATGGGTGATCAGGAAAATGCGCTGTGGATGTCCCCTCCCAGGTGGATGCCCATTGCCCCCCCCCCAGCAATAGTGACCAGGATGCAATTAAAATATAATTTAAGATGATGATGATTATAATCTATTCAGTTGATTTCTACAATGATACAAGGGGTTGTCCCATGCTGGTGTCTTATTTATAAATGAAGTACCATGACTTCCACCCCGCACATACAGTACATAGAGCGCTGAACCAAATTTGCAGATGCGCTGGGGGGTGAGGCCTTGCCCCTGCCCAAAAATGAGAATGCGCCCATTTCTATAGACTACTTTCTGTTTCCAATTGTCTGATGAGTCGGAGTCGAGGCAACTCCGTGCGCTGCAACGCCCAGGTGGGCGCAACACGGCCCCAAACACATTAGACTAGACTTTCGCTGGCAGAAAAATTAAGTTACGCCCGGTTTTACGACAAACGCACAGGCACTGGTCAACCATAATAGCACCCTTAAAGTTTGAATGATTTGAATTGGTTTAACACTTACACTGAAGGAGTAGCATATTACCATTGTCAGTCGTCAAAAGTCAATCGCACCCTAAAGCCATCTCAGTATGAGCAGTTTCATGAGTATGATGTCCTTTTTCATAACCACCTTGACTTGACACTGCATCTTAAAAATGACCCACTCAGGAGAAGCCACGAGATGGTCCAGTGATGGTTTAGCAGCAGATTGACAGCCAAGTATTATTCAAGATCGGCTCCCCCGTCTCCACTGAGCCCTCATTCTCCCCCTTCGCTTTCCAGGTCACCACAGGACACAAACACCGGGAGCCGAGCCACCTAAAGACAGCCGACGCAGGGTAGGAAAGCCTGTCCTCTCTTATCCCAGGCTCAGGGGCCAGATAACAGCATTGGGGCTGTGAGCGCTCACCGAGGTACCACTTGAATAGCAAACAGCAAATCCCACCAGCAGAAGGGAAAAAAAAAAATTCTCTCTTGAAGTGTATAAAATTAACATAACAATTGTATATTTTCAACATCTCACTGTTTTTGCCGCTCTGAAATTGATAAATCCTATGTACGCTTACACAATTTATTACATCATCTCATAAGACCTTGATCACACTGAAAGACGTCACCGTTGAGGCATAGAAGACATCGGTGTACAATGATGAAAAAAAATAATAAATCAATACAAAATTCTTAGCTCCCAATCCAGCTAAGCAGGTATTTCCTTAAATGCTAACTACAGGCGAACAAGCAACTGTGGCTTTGTAGTGAATCACTAGAACATTTTAACAGGTATTGGGTGCCACTGTGCTTGCATACCAAATGTTAAGGTTCAAATCGAGTGTGAGACTGAGTCAACTATTGATGCCGCCTACACTCTTAAAACTGCTGGGTTAAAAGTATCGCTAATTGGGAGAAATACTTAACCCAGCACTTTGGACTGAGTCAGTGCTGGCTTATTCATACCCAGCGTATTGGGTTGAGGATTTGACCCAGCACTTCGGATCAAAGTTTTGAACCAACAAATCGTAAAAAGTACCCATATTGATGAGTTAAATCAGGTTATTAGTGTAGCCGCGGTTTAAAATAAAAGACATTTTATTACCAACCTTTTCTAAGAAGAGGAAGCAGTTGTCAACACAGTTCATATTTGTTTGGTAGAATCTTTCCACCGGATGCCCTTCTTGATGCAACCCACCCATTCTCATCCAAGATTAGGATCACTGTTGCTTGTCCAACGTAGGTCATCGTAGTAGTTTTGCGAATGAAATTGAAAGCAGGTAAAGTAGCTTGTGTACAGTATATGGACATGAAAGGTCAAACGACATGTTGAGATGTAATCGGTGCACTGAACCACGCCGAGATTGGAACGATTTAAATGTATAAATTCTAAATTTACAAGCCCACTTATGGAAATGTTAAGGGATTGTGAAGAATTCATCCATTTGGGGGCTGTAAAAGTTTAATGTGAAAGATGGGTAAAGCCAAGATATAACTCTGAATCAAAGGACAAGCCAATGAATGTTTAAAACCGTGCAATTCTCAGTGTGACACATTTACTGTCACACTTAGGTAGTATACAGTTGTTGTCGCACATACACTACTACACTTAATTAGACACACAGGGTAACAAAATGCAATACGGGGTTGTATTAAAATGTTCACTTTCCAAAGATAATGTGACATTTTGATTGAAACTGTAACACAGATGATAATTCAATGTTTATTATCACTGTTGTAGTTCGCATTGATAGAGAAGATTTTTATGACTTGTAGTTTTTTTCAAGTCAAATTTATTGACGTAGTCTTTAATCACAGAAATCGGCTTCACATGTCGACAGTTGACAAATATTAACGACAGCCCCTGATCTTGACCCTCGGGAGGACAAGGAAAAAAAAAAAAACGGGATAAACATTTTAGAAACCTTGAGAAGGGGCCGCAGATGGAGGAATCCTCCTTTCCAGGAAGACCAGGCAGCAATTGATACAGAGTGGGCATCGTTTAACACAATATGGTGCCATTCAATGTTAGAATAATATAACAGTCCATTTAAGATGAAATGTTGGAGAAATACGCTTTCAGAGAGGTGGGTCCTCCTCAAAACCCTGCCCATTGGTCAATGATGAACTCTCCATAGCAGTGCCTCCAAGTAGGTGGTCTGCCTCAGATCTTGTCCAGATCAATCGGAGAAGAATCTATAGAGTAACATCCAAATGGGTCATCATCACTGAGCCTCCTCTCCAAACTGGTAAGGAGGGGGCTAAGGAGAATACAGAAGAAGTGGCAATCAAACAGACAACATGTCATTCAACTAAATGCAAGATTATACAAATAGGTCTAAAGTCATGTTTTAAACATTTCTACTGAGGTGGCGGCTCCATTTTCAAAATTGAGTTTACTTGAACTTATTTTTAAAAATATTCAAATCCCTCAATTCAAATTCATCAGTTTTTAGGATACACCACCTGACTGTCCCTGCTGATGTCTCGTATAATCTATAGTATTCAACCATCAACTATGCAATACAATACAATACGTCTTTAGGTCTGTTTAAACAAATTAAAAGTAGGCTAGGGCAAGAGACGTGAGCTTTAACCGCCCATCCAATTTGGCAAAAAAAATTCTCACTCTGATCCACTGCAAACTATGACGACATATTATGTTAACCTGCTCCAACTCCCTAGTGTTTCCCACCATTTGTACATCGAAACTGACATTCAGTATGTTTGTGTGAACAGTGGCCCATTGTGGAGGTGTGACAACTTTGACGGCCACGCCTACGTTAGGCTGTAAGAAGTTAAGAATTGATGGGCATCATGTTTCCACACCTGTGCTGAAAATAGAAGACAGCATACCTCGGGGAAATGTTCATGGCGGGTAAGGCTTACTCGATGCACAGTAGAGAAGGCTAAGTTGGAATCCAGATGTCTAATTATATTTGCAGCGCTATGACAGCTGGAGTTTTTTTTCCTCAATGGTGGGGAATATATTTAATTCCAAAAAATATATATATCTTGTGGCATGCACCGCTGAGTGATCAGTATTCAAGGTCGTTTTGCTCATCAAATTGATCTCAATTTGCGGACTGAGCATAAGTTTCATTCATCTGTTTGTTAGGTAGGTAGATTGGTCCATTTTGGGGGCTACTTTAAATTTTTGGTAAAGCAGGGTAGCAGACGTAGCAACCTTGACCAAATTTGGGCATTTTGGGGGGCCAAATTCTCAGATGGCTTTATTATTTATGATTGCAAATCCTTCTGCACGTAGGGAACGCCAAATTCAGCTGAGCCAAAGACTGCATGATGGTGACGTGAAGCGGAATGCCAACTGGGAAGCTCTCCTTAATGCCAGACGTAATAGATGAAAAGGAGCAACCAGTTTGGATAGCATCATTCACCGCAATAAAAATGACAAGGAAAATAGTTTGCAACTGCAATGCCGTTACCAGAGAAGCTAAGAGTTTGCTGTGTTTGTTCTTCTCACACCACTCACAGGTCAGTGTCGTTACTATGCCAGACATCTAGTTTGAGGTTTTATGTGTTGGTCAAGCTCTTCAGGCAGTTTGTTTCAAAGTCGACATTTCAAACTAAAGGCGATAGAGCATCCTCTGTCAGAGAATCTTGACTTTGGAACGACCTGCGCCTGGAGCTGAAATGTGCAAATTCTACCACATTTTTAAATCGGTCCTTAAAAGTCACTTTTGCAGGATAGCTTTTAGTTCTTGTGTTATGTAATTATTTGCCGATTTAAATGTATTATTTTCCCGCCCATGTATTTTGACAATCCCACATTCAGCCTTCTTAGTTTCAATTGGGTCTGCTGGGTTCTTGCATTGTCTGGATTTTGTCACGTCTGTCTGTTTTATTTTCAGCCCCAGCTGGAGTGAAGGGTGTTTCCCTCCAGCAGGCTCACCTGTTCCGCGTTTCCCAATCAAACCTGTCATGTATTTAAGGACTCCCAAACTGCCAAATTACTGTCGAATTAATGACCTTGCTCGCCGTAGTGCTTTTTGTTTTGTTGCTGTTACAATCTGTCGGCATTGTGGTCAAGTGGGGCACTGACCCATCCGATCAGACAGATGGGGGCCCTTCGTCTGGGGTGCATTGTCTGTGGAAGTCGAGTTCCACTTTCAAACTCTTGCAGCATAGAAATAATACATTCTCTTACACTGCAAAGAGCATCGAAAACATTAAGGTTGTGGGGGTGGAGGCCTCTAGGATGAGAAGTAACATCAAAATTTCATGTCGTATAGCCTTTCTCACATAGATGACTGAAAAGGTTTACAATCTTAAGGCAGGCTTAGCCGTCACTAACAGCGATTCCCCTGGAAGTTAACCTACTCATGCTTTGTGGCTCAAAAGACCAATTCACTCAATGTGCATATTGTGACATCTTCTGAAAATGTGGGCATCGTCAGAAACACAGATATGTGTGTCATGGGCTAGAAAAAAGAGCAGTAAGCCTCCAGTCACTTTGTTTCTTGGAGGAAATTTACTATTGCATATTCAGTGTGTGGAAATTCCACCACTAGGCTCTCAAGAGGGATTGGAATTGTATTCATCACAGCCTTGAGAGAAGTTGAGCAAAACAAACTTGGAAAGAAAAAAAAACAGACATCTCACTGCATTTAAAAAAACATTCCCGTAGCGATTTAACGATCTGGCAGTGATACGTTTATTTACTTACATATGCGCTCCCCTTCTGGCTAGCTTGGTAGAAAAATGTGTTACAGTTTGTTTATTCATTATAATTTTCTTATTTGCTCTTTTGTACAACTACTGTTAGACCTAATACCCAAATGATGTTTCCAACATTATTTTTTGGAGGACTTGGCAAAGGAAATCGGAAGAGGTGCCCTTCAGCACTGTGCCACACGCCAGCACTGCACACAGAAAAGCAAAAACCAAAATCAAAAGCAGGTTCATGTTCAATTCATCTTTGTGCATATGCTCCTCCCAGTAGTTTGGACGACGCAATTTTGGTTGTGCTTGGTTAGTCGATTCACTTTATCAATTGGATGGCCTAGATTGCACACAGTAGTGCAAGCGTGTCCTTAGACTGGTTGGCCTTGGTGGGGATTGCTGCTCTTTTGAGTGCCATTCTATTTTCAACAATTCCTTTTATGCTTTGATGCCTCGGTGCATGGATGTTCTTTCAGTCACTCTGCTCGGTAGCGCACCACTAAGTGCATCCTGCTTTTACAGCATGGTCCCGCTTTGTCTTCTTGATGTTCTGCAGCTTTATGAATTTTGTGACTTAAGTGATGTATTATTCTATTGCAATACACTTTAGGCAGTCCATGTCTGGGAGAGTGCTGACTTCTAATAAACCTTGGACATTATTTGCAAAAATAATGAGTGAAAAGCCAGGCTATTACAGGAGCTAGCATTCCGTCTCAATCCAGAACTTCCCCAGATGCCATTTAACAGCGATAAGAATTTCAAGTTTTTATTCATGTCAAGTTATTCTTGTGAAGCTTGTACAGTCATAAAATGTGCCATCCAATCCATGCAAAATGCAAACACAAATTGAGTTGAGAGCAGCAAGATTTTATTGCGATATTCTTCTTTTCAATGACTTGACTCAGATATTTATCCTTTGTATGCATCTTCTTGTCTTCATTTGGGTCAGGATAACTAAAGCCTATCCCAACTGACATTGGTCAAGTGGTTGACCCTCACAATCACACATAAGAGCATTTTTTAAATTCTTCTTCATGTGGTACTTGAAGAAAACCCATCCGAGCATGAGGAGAACAAACGGTTTTCCCAAAAGATATTCAAAATCACATCTGAGAAGCAGTCATGACTCTTTGAAGCCCCGAGGACCCTTGACTTTTTCAAATGATTTTTTCAGAAAAAAATAATGACTTGCATCCCAATCAAGGCATTTACCCAAATGGCTAAAAATATACTGCATCTAATTCACACTTGGTTTTGTCTCACACCGATGGTTGCTGTAGTAACCGTTCATCTGCGCAACCTTCCTCAACTGTCTTAGGTGACTAATATATTCGGCACGTCTTTCTTCTAACAATTTTCTGACTGTCTCAGCCGTCAATTCGTTCTAATGTCTAATTCATCAACTGCCCCCCACCCCCCCAAAAAAAAAAAAAAGTTCACAGTCCTTTACCCAAACGTATCCCTCTCGGATATGGTCTGCTCACAGCATTCATTTATATTGAGAACATCATCACCGCTTCCTGCTGTCAGCTCTTACATAATGCTCCTGAAAGTCTCACTTGTGGCCATGTGTGCGCTACTGTGTGCATCGTCTCACTTTTGGACTCCTGCAGTATGAACAGTTGGCCTTGCCTTACCTTCCACCTCCTAATTTGACTGACTGGCCCTGAAAATTTAAAACAGGAATTGCTGGAGCTTATATCTCCTGAGACAAAGATGGCTGTCATGCTTCTCCTGATGCCCTTGCAGAAGTTTGGGAAATAAGACCAGTAAGAGATTAAAAACAACACACGGTGAAGCCAAAGGATCAAATGGGGTATAGTGTGAAATGTTTACAAATGTGTCTGTTTTGCTAAGCTCTGAGGAAGCAGCTGATAGCCAAGTCACTTTGGTGAGATAAAGTGATACAAATGAGTCTATAGCGTCTGGACTGGGTGACTTCCGCTATCTGCATTCTCCCCGACTTTGCTGAGTCTAACCTAAGTGTGTTAAAGGGGAAGTCAACCCGAAACATTTTCTTTCAGGAAATGTGTTCTATGCAGACCTGCTTGTCTAAACGCGGCATTCTGATAACAACTTGAGCAACTGTGACGTCATTGAGAAACTGTGACGTCATTTTCAGTGGACAGAAAGTGGCAAAATGGCTAAACACAGGTGGATTTTGCTGCTTAACTCATGTTCCGCAAACACAACATTAATCAGAATGCCATGTTGAGACGAGTGGAGGCGCATAGAACATATTGCTGTAAAGAAAACTAGATCAATCGATTGATCGATCGATCGATAGATAGATATTTATACACACACTCACACATTAACATACACTAGGGGCGCAACAAAAAAAACCCAATTTGAATTGGAAAATTGGTTTTGATTGAAAAGACGTGGTACACAAACTAGTGAACCGGCTGATCACCCGATCAAAAAGTTGTAAATATCAATAAGTAGAAATTGATTTGACTGTGTTGATGACTTGTTGTTTCTTTGAAACTAGTTCAATTATGGCTTTAGAGTCATCTTACATGTTGTATTTTTACATTTTAGTAAGCATGACAACAGTGACCTGGACAGATAAACTTCTTCTCTAGTCTTCTAAATCTCGTTGAAGGAAATGCCACATGTACAATCCTGACAGGTGAATTCATATTGTGAAATGATTGGCTACTTTCATTGGCTGGCAACCAGTTCAGGGTGTGCCCTGCCTACTGCCCGAAGACAGCTGGGATAAGCTCCAGCACGCCCACGAGCCTCGTAAGGATAAGTGGATTCGAAAATGGATGGCTGGATGGAATTGCTACTTTCAACAAGAAACACTTTGCATCGTAACCTCTTGAAATGATCCATATCGAATTGAAGCATTGAATGGTACTGTAATCCCACTCAATCAAACTGATTAATTTTTTTCAAAAATATAGTTTTGTTTTCAAGTTAAAATTATGAAACAAACTAACCGTCAAAATGTCAATTGATGTCCATTGTGCTTGCAGCTTTACTACTTATTAATGAACGGCCTTCACTGCCTTCATTCTGCTCATTACCTCCACTGCTTCTTAATCCGTCATGGAAATTCAAACATTGCCCACACAAACGCAGGTGCCATCATCTCCATCCCTGTCAGCCACTCTGCTCACGGAAAAAGCACGAGGCTCGAAAGGGCTTCACAGTATTAATGACTGGTTTGACAATCGGTATTTGAGTGTGTACTTTATCTACTATACGCGCGCCCACAGCTCCTGCAGTCCAATAACGGCTGCCATATTCCTTCGGCCAAATAAATGACTGTGAAAGTGATGTAAGAGCGAAATGGCTCTCAAACTCCGAATGAGTGATTAAGCTTTTTGATCTTGCATAGGGCACCTATAACTCATATGGAATGATGAATATGTAGCATTTACACAGTCTTGATTGAAGTTTGGCCTGAAGCACCGATGCACTTCACTCTACTTCTTCGCAATTTAAATAAAATCGATGGAAATGATTTTGCAGCACTTGAGGTTTTTTTCTTTTTGAAAAAGTATGCTGTGCATTTCAGGGTCATACAAGAAGCGCCATATGCCGGTGTGACCTCGCGCAGCAGCACTTTTGGATCATTACAAAGTCTCTCATTCGGTGCCATGACATCTGGGCGAGACCAGCGCCAACGTAGCGCAGGTACGTTCATAAGCTATAAATATGTCACTCTTCAAGAGTGTTATTTTTATGTGGGAATAATATAACCTGTTTTAGTGGACCATTCGCATCTCCATTGTTCTCGCCAGCGAAGTTCACTTTTTTTTTGCAGGCAGCTCCTCCACCTGCAGGCGTCAC